CAACGCAAGGCGCATGGCCAGCTGCTGGGATCGAACCCGGCATCCCGGCATTACGAAGCCTTCGCATCGACTTAGCCACAGAGCAACCTGAAAGATACCATTATAACAATAAATGAAACTTAGTAATATAATAAAGTTAAGGACCCTTTTCAACACCTTCAGGAGTATTTGGTATATAGGGCAGGACCGATATTTTACAAACCAAACGGCATTTGGTTGATGATGGGTCAGCATCACACCGGCCGCCTTTACTTCACAGGACTCTACCTGGTACCCCTTCAAGGCTGGGTCGACCTAGGAGCCAAGATCATTACACTTTAGAATATACACCTCATAGTTGATCTGTGCCGGTATATTATGTTAACGTTGACAGGGAAAATGATGTGTCATTCATTACTGTCGACAGAGAACCTGGTTTTGATCTGTTACTAACAACAGTGAATCTCGTGTTTTACTTATTGATATCCAACTTAATGAACCTAGTGAGCCCCATGTTTGTTTTGTTATTGTAAATAGTGAACCTCGAATTTGTTACGTTACCAAAGAAGTGATCCTCCTTTTTGTTCGGTTACTGTAGACAGTGAGCCTCGTATGTGATTTGTTACTTTCGAACCTAGTCTGTCTCGTGTTTGTCCTGTTACTGTAGACACTGGACCTCATGTTTGATCAATTGTCTGTGAATCTCATGTTTAATCTGTTGACAGAAAATCTCATGTTTAATCTGTCGACAGTAAATCTCATTTTTAATCTGTCGACAGTAAACCTCGTGTTGAATCTGTCGACAATAATCCTTGTGTTTCATCTGCTGACAGTAAACCTCATGATGGATCTGTCGACAGTAGTAATTCTCATGGTATATTTGTCGACAGTAAACTTCATCTTCGTTCTGTCGACAGTAAACCTCTTAAATGAGGAGGGGGTTTCAAGTAACCCGGACTTCCTCAAGGACAACGATGACAACACCTGCAACCCCGACACTGCTGCCAGCGCAGTCACCGTCGGCCTACGCAAGGAGTTGAGCTTCGTCTGGCTGAGGCTAATCGTCAATGACGTTAGTATGTGTCTATTTTATCTAGGCTACAATAAGTGTAAAACCAAAGTGGTAAACCAAACGTAAGCTTGTCGCTCGGTCGTCCAGGCATGCTGACTGTTCTAATTAGGCTGCCGCAACGACTTCTTATCTCACAGTACCTTCTGCGAAACCACCAAGTCGTCTTGTCCCTATCCGAAAGAAAAAACACCATCCGGTAATCTCGTGCAGCAGGGTACCAGCCCTGAGCTTCATGAACTCAGGTGGGCCCACCTCCGAAAGCGTCTAGGAATCGTGGGCCGAAACGCTTGTCGACGAGGATAATTTCTACTGATGACTGGTAGATCCCTGCTGTACTTGCTCCCTGTGAGTTTATTCCTATAGTGTCTCTTTTATCTAGGTCACTAGCCATATTGCGTCTCTTTTATCTAAGTCAGTGACTACATTAAGTATCTCTTTTATCTAAGTCCCTAGCCATATTGTGTCTCTTTTATCTAAGTCGGTGGCTACATTAAGTATCTCTTTCATCTAAGTCACTGGCTACATTGTCTCTTTTATCTAAGTCACTGGCTGCATTATGTCTCTTTTATCTAAGTCACTGGCTACATTTGGTGTCTCTTTTACCTAAGTCTATCTATTATGGCCTGGGACTGGTTACCGTCTCAAAGAGTCAGAGGGACAAACTAGAGCGCATACAGAACGCGGCTATGCGGGTCATTCTGGGTTGCACCAGAGACACCCCAGTGGTGTGTATGCGATACATCCTTGGTTTGCCGACGGTTGCAGGTAGGCACAAGGTAATGCAGGCGAAGTTATATCTCAGGGTAGCTGCAGACACAGACCACCCTCTGCATGAAGCTCTGGGTGCAGTTAAGGGTCAGCGGCTGATAAGAGGGAGGTCATGGATGGCTCAGGCAGAAGACACAATCAGACAGGTTTGCATCCTTGAGAACATTAGGCGAGGAGAGGAGTGGGTCAATGTGCCACCTGAGCAGTCAGACTTGTGTAGAGTCATAATCACGCTGAGCCGGAAATGCAGAGACTGGCCAGCAAGTGCCACATAGGTGGAAATTCAGCAATTAATTCAAGATAATGCTCGCTCAGAGGATTTGATCATTTACACAGACGGTTCAGTGTCGAGAGGCAAAAGAAGTGCTTGGGGCTTTTTATCAAAAGTTAATGGTCGACGTTTGGTGCAGGAGAGCCTAGCATATGATACCACAACATCCAGCTTAAGAATGGAGGTGGAGGCGGTCACTGCAGCTTTCCGCTGGCTGGAGAACACGACACACACACACATATTGTAATTGTAACTGATTCAGAAAGCATGCTGAGAAAGATCAGAACAGGTATGCTTCGTGCAATGTGGCATGCTTCGCTGCGGAGGACACGAGTGAGGAGTATTGTCTAGATTTTTTCAGCGGTCACGCCGGTGTGTTGGGAAATGAACAGGCAGACAGACTGGCTGGCTCTGCACAACTTGGTGGAATACTGCTACATGATAGGGCAGACGTGGTTAGTGCCTTGTGGGAGAACGTGTACAATGCGAAGGAGCAGATGGATCACAACACTTTGGTGAGATTGATGCAGTTGGGGGCGACGAGAGGTTCTGACAGAAGCTCAAGGCTCAGAGGAAAGGCAAGACGGACGTTTAATCAGAAAGCTACTGGCACCATTAGTATCGGAACTCTTCGCTGGCGGCTGAAGATGGGGACGGAGCGCTCTGGGAATGCCCCGAGTGTTGTGATGTCGGTTCTTGAATGAAATCAAATCGAATTATCTAAGTCACTGGCTACATTGTCTCTTTTATCTAGGTCACTGGCTACATAAAGTGACTCTTATCTATGTCACTGTCTACATTAAATTACTCTTTTATTTAGGTCACTGGCTACATTAAGTGACCCTTTTATATAGGTCAGCATCAACATTAAGTGACTCTTCTTATCTAAGCCATGGGCTCGATTAATAGACTAGATGTCTCTTGTATCTATGTCATTGGCTCTATAAAGTGTTTCTTTTTTAATCTGGTGACTTCCTGAAATGTTTGTTTTATCCAAGCCGCTGGCTCCATTATGTATCTCTTTTACCTACCAAAGCAATGTTTCCCCATTGTAAATTTGAACAAAGAAGACACAAACAATAGACTGTACAATTTATTGCCCGGCATATTTCGCTGTATCTCGTCAGGCGCATACTACAGCAACAATAACATTAATGAAGCAAATAAGTGAATTCTTCATAATTGAAATACAATTTCAACAATGAACAAAACATAACTGTCTGTACTTTTACCAGGGCAGCCATAAAGACAAAACCATCTCTCTCTGTTATCAGAGTTCCGGGCGCAGGTGACGAATCGCGGAAGCTTCGAGATATCTTAGCAGAACGCCTTTGGTTGATGTATGAAGGATTTGAAATGCGTTATTTTTAGTTACCACGTGTCCAGGTTTTAGAGAAGATGGCGTGCTATTACAGAAGGGTAATCTTTGCAGCCGGTATTCTCATTTTCATTTCTTTTATCGACGTCTTTGGATCCATGACATATCTATCTAAGTCATTGACTACATTAAGTGTCTTTCAACAAAAAAAAAAAAAAAATATAGCAATGCCGTTGTTGAAATCAACTCAGAACGCTTTGCTCTCAAAACGCCCCCAGCTAGAATTTAACCGGGGTATGTAGGAGTTACAAAGTAAAAAAGTAAAAAGTAAAGTCGGGAGATGTGAACCAGCGTCATTGCACACGGTTATAAACCATAAGTGCTCTGCCACAAGTACGGACAGCGGGTAAGAAACTGTCTGCCTGTGTCGCCGTTTGCACGTAACTCTGTAGCTACAGCGACGTTCCTCCATTTACCTCAGAGCGTCACTCTGGTACCCATTTCCTAGAGGCCGGGTGAACCCCGGGAACCGCCCGGTTTCGAACACCGACTGTGGCTACAGCGAGTCGCAGCTGGATTTGAAAGCGAGGCTCCTATCGGCTGCGTTAACGCGGCTCCCTAGGGAGGAGTTACAAAGTGTGTACGCAATGCTTTAGCCACAGATGCCAACGGTACTTCGGCAGTTAAACGCAGTTTGAATACAGAGGGGCAAATTTAATGTGACTGAAGGTAAAACTTATGAGATCACATGATCCCATAAAAGGAAACGAAGGAATAGTGTCACAAACACACGTTCACACATATACACATCTACACTGTGCGTCGCTTCGGACGAAAGAATTAGACACCGAACTGGTTGAAATGAAACAGTAACTGGGTGTTTCCTGGAAGAGGAGATTCTGGGGCCAGCTAGGAAGACAGTGAAAGTTGATATTAAGGACATCGTGAGTAAGAATATTCACACAAGTGAGTAAGATTGCAAGCTGCTACGTGGCTTTCAGGCTTATCATAATGAAAACAACATTCTGCTAAAGGCACTGCTGCGTCTGGTGCTGTTGATGCTGATGATGATAGGGATGGTGGTGACGATGGTGACAATGCTGGTGCTGGTGATGATAGTGGTGGTGATGGAGGTGGTGATAATGATGATTGTGGTGGTGGTGATGATAAGGATTGTGGTCGTCGTGGTGGTGATGATGATAGTGATGTGGATAATGATGGTGATGATGATGACGATGATGGTGGTGGTGATGATAATGCTGCTGTTGCTGCTGCTAATGATGATGATTATGTCTATGATTATGTTGATGATGAAGTTGATGATGTTGATGCTGGTGATGATGATGATGATGATGGCGGTAGCGTTGATGATTATGATGGTATTGATGATGATGATATGTTGGCGATAATGACGATAATGATAATCATGCTGATGGTGGTGGTGATGATGTTAATGCTGATAATTTTGATGATGATGAGGATGATGCTGATGATGAGGTACATTAACTCGTAGACGTGCTTCAGACTTGGTCACTTTACTTTGATGTTGATGTCTGCCATCTCCCCCATCCGTCACCCCACCTAATATACAGGTCTGCAACTCCGAGAAGTGCAACTGAAACTGAACGGTGCGCCAAACGGCTGTCCCTCGAAGAAATGGACCAAAGTGGATAAAGTTTTGGACATCTTCTGTAACACAACCATAAGAGCCAGAAATTTGACCATCGAGGAGCCCCTGGCCTCGCGGCTGTGTTCTGTTTACCTAAGCAGAGGTCAGGTTTGAAATGTTAGAACTGTACTGTTTAATGCGTGGTTAAATGGTATAATTTGTCGCCATAATAGTTTATAGTAGAATCTGTAAGGAAATTAATTTATACTTTAAATATAGTTTACTATATGATGATAATTTAATTGATTTTTATTATTTAAAAAAAAACTGATTTTTTACCCTACTAGGACGTCATACTGAGCGATTAACAGTCCGGTGACACAAAGTGGAGAAGTCCCGGAAACACCTTTGAACCATTAGGTTATATAAGGGTCCCGGGCAACAACCAGAATGGGGCTTCAAAATAACAAAATCGCGGTGAAAATGCTTTCGATGTCTTGATCTATATTTCTGACGAAATCTGTTTTCTGTTGTCGCAGCATGCTTCTTTCCATTGTTCGTGATGGGTTGTCTACGGGTTCTTGCGTCTTTCAAAACATATTTATAAATAATATTCTCCAACCAAGCAATTGAAAGCAGTCTTATGTAAAACCATATCTCTGAGGTGGACTGTGATACTAACATAGCTAACTGTCCCAGATTTATAACCACCTGTTTTGCCTTGAGGTTCCTGGGACCCCACTCTGGGGAAAACAAAAAATATAGACCAACTGCCTCCCCAACTTAAGAGTAGACTGAATGAGGGCATCCTTCCAAGTCGTAGAATCTCAGCCTGAGAGGTAAGTATCTGTGAAATGGATTTAGGCGCATCACACAGGTTCTAGAATAAGATTAAAGTCCGGAGGTGGACGGACACCCAAAACTCTCCCAAGAGTTTACAGCCGGTGAACGTGAAGATGGAGAAACAGACAGCCCTCCTGTAAAACTGTTGGCTCTCTTAGCGTGCAATATTTTTATATTTATTCAACGGATCAACACCATGGCACACGGGTAGTAACCCATAAGCGCTCTGTTGTACCTCTAACTCAATTCTGAGAACTTCAGTGCAGTGCACGAGCTCCGTTGCACGGGTGAGGATGCTGAAAAATTTTTAGGTAGATTTGTAACTTTAAATTTTACCCGGGCAGCGCCGTTAGGCTTCTCTTTTCGATTTCCAGCAGCCAAGAGATGTTTCACTTGCGCAACAACAATACAGATGAGCGCCCGATCTTACTACCCAGAGACCAAGTGGAATTACTATAAGTTTACGTGAAAAAATCCTAGCCTTTACCAGGCCATGAACCCGAGACCTCCAGCACTCGAGGCGGACACCACACCTCGAGACCACACAGCCTCTACAGCTTGCATACCATAGTCTGTACCATAGTCTGTCGACACCTGTTCTTAACATTAACTTTTGTCTTTCCATTCTGTCATCGTCCAGGTCGCAACCTGGCCACCAGGGGGAGCGTCGTTCTGTCAAGCACAGCAAGCCAAGGAGATGCCAGCTTCTCCGTCGACGGAGAGACAACAAATTCGTCAGGGTTTGCTCTCTGCTCACACACAAATATCAGTGATCAGGTTGGAATTTGGAAACTCACCTTTCGTAATAATTACCTCATTACTAGAGTCCGCATTTTCACACTACCAGGTGAGTTACGGCGTGTGGGCTATCTCTGTGGAGCATTATATACATCCCATAGGTTTCCATACGTATGAACGATAAATATGTCACCAACACTGCGCTTGTGAATGTCTTTCTGCAGCGGAAGACACGTATCTAAATGTGTTATAATATGCATGACGTTCCCATCTAATATGCAATTTTTTTGTTATTTGAAACCCCACCGAGCTTTTGCCGGGGACCCTGGATTTAGCCGGGGCATAGATATGGCCTAATGGCTAAAAGGGGTTTTCGGGGCCACGCCACGGGTGATCCCCATCCGCATGGTTGCACTTTGTTTCACGGGGTGTTGGTATTTTGCTTGTGTGATGTCCTGGTGGGGTGCAACTACCTACCTACCTAAGTGTGTTTTCAAAACAATGGGAGTCATGTGGAGCATATTATATTTTAAAAAAAAAATGTTTTAATTACAAAATTACAATTTTGCCGATGTATGGCAGCTTACCGAACATCTACTCAGCTTTACCTAGAGTGAAATGGTTTGGTCATCGAATTAAAATGTATGTTTATGTTTATTCGACGGATCAACATCATTGCACAGTGGTGAGACTTTCATTTTCAAAATGGCGGACAGCAGCTGTGTTTATTTTCGCTGGCTGTCAATTCTCTCGGATTATTCTGTTTCATAATCATGGATTGCTATTTTATGCGCATTTCTAACGCAGGATATTATGTGTTTTTCGTGGGAACAGCGTGTATTGTGGTTGTGCTGTGTCGGGGCGGGATAATGACCGATAGTTTTGGCAGCCTCGGCTACGCTGCCTTCGCAATGTTCGCACACTGGTGAAACCCATAAGTGCTCCGTTCTACTCAAGCCTGGGTCTGAAGAATCTCAGCGCAGTGCACGAACACCGTAGACCGGTGAGGATCCTCAAATACTTTGGGTAGATTTTAAACTCCACATTTTTGCCCGGGCAGCGCCTTTAGGCTACTCTTTTTTATTTCCACCTGCCATGGGAATACACACGGCGATCTCACTACCCAGGGACCAGGGGTAATTACTAGAAGTCCACGTGTAAAAATTCCAGCCTTTACCGGGGCTTGAACCCGGGACTTCCAGCACTTAAGGTCTCACAGCCTCCAGGGGCCTCAACACATTCATATTATATGTTTACAAATGCAATTTTCTTTTATTAGAACCTTCAAAAGGTGTATATAACATAATTAATGTGGTTTTGCAGACACATTCTTTGTCATTTCTATTTCTAAAAATTAAACGACAATATATTTATATCATCCACAGATTTAAAAGGCGCACATTTAAAAAAAAAAATTTTGTGAGATTAGCTGCAGTAATTTAAAACAGTAGGAGCCTCGGGGCTTGATAATCCTGTTGTCTCATCAAGTCTAAATCCCACCCTTTCAAATTTAGATGTTGCTAGAGTTCAGCTCTCCATTCTTTATCTAACTTTACATATCTGTTATGTGAATCCCCTTGTGGGTTTCGATACCCATGTGGGAGCGGCTAGGGGAGAAGACACCCACTAACTTTAACAAGCATGTCTTAAAAAAAATTGCCTACAGTGCTTTTCAAAAGTATGTACAGATCAACACAAATTTGTGCATGTGGCCATAGATTTCCGATGTCCTCCGGCTTTCATAATTTACAACTGCACATCCCCGTGTTAGTTCCGAGATCACATTTTAGGGAATACAAAAATAGACCCACTGCCTTCCAAACAAGCATGTCGTAAGAGTCGATTAATTGGGGGTTTCTTTGAAGTCGGAGTGCATCTGCCTGAAAGGCAAGTAACCAACAATCTGCATACTAGTTAGTCAGATCTGTAAAACGGATGTACAAGCAATACTCAGATTTTAGAAGAAGACTAACGTCCAGAGGCAGACGAACAACCAGAACTTTCTGCCAGAGTTTACAGCCGGTGAACGCGAAGAAAAAGACAATTGCACAGGTGCCACCGTGCGACTCTAGAACCTTCCTACAGATCATAAAATGGAATGGGCTTCAGAAGCTTTTGACAGATCATAAGATGGAAGGGACTTTAGAACTTTCTTATAGATCATAAGATGGAAGGGACTTTAGAACTTTCTTATAGATCATAAGATGGAAGGGAATTTAGAACTTTCTTATAGATCATAAGTTGGAAGGGACTTTAGAACTTTCTTATAGATCATAAGATGGAAGGGACTTTAGAACTTTCCTATAGATCATAAGATGGAAGGGACTTTAGAACTTTCTTATAGATCATAAGATGGAAGGGACTTTAGAACTTTCTTATAGATCATAAGATGGAAGGGATTTTAGAACTTTCTTTTAGATCATAAGATGGAAGGGACTTTAGAACTTTCTTATAGATCATAAGATGGAAGGGACTTTAGAACTTTCTTATAGATCATAAGATGGAAGAGACTTTAGAACCTTCTCACATATCATAGGATGGAATGGACTCTAGAACCTTCTTACAGATCATAAGATGGAATACTCTAGTACCTTCTTACAGATCATAACATGGAATAAACTCTAGGACCTTCTTACAGATCATAACATGGAATAGTCTCTAGAACCTTCTTACAGATCGTAAGATGGAATACTCTAGAACGTTCTTACAGATCATAAAATGGAAGAGACTCTAGAACCTTTTTACAGATCGTAAGATGGAATACTCTAGAACGTTCTTACAGATCACAACATGGAATAGTCTCTAGTACCTTCTTACAGATCATAACATGGAATAGTCTCTGGAACCTTCTTACAGATCACAACATGGAATAGTCTCTAGAACCTTCTTACAGATCTTCTTCTTTCTTTTGTCAAAATCTGCTTGTGCCGCTAGGCGTCGCAGTCTATCAGATGATCGTCAACCGAGCCAGGGCGCGCTCAGTCGCTTCATATGCCGTGATGTTATGAAGTCTCAAGTTGTCCGTGACTCCTTCAATCCATCTTTTTCTTGGTCTTCCTTTGCCTCTTGGTGTTTCGATTTTCATGTTGTATGCTCTTGATGCTGGCATCGTTGGTTCCATTCTCATTAGGTGACCAAACCATTTCATTCTTTGCTTCTCAATAAATTTAAAGATGGGTATGGTTCCAATAGTTCTTGTAATCACATCGTTTCTCACTCGATCTCTTCTGGTTTTATTCGCAGCCATTCTCAAACATCTCATTTCACAGGTGGTTAGTCTTCTCTCGTGTTCTTTTGTTAATGTCCAAGTCTGACATTGATAACCTAATGTCGGTATAAAGATTGTATTTATAATTTGTCTTTTTATCTCAGCTGGGACAGCAGGGTGTTTTAAAATTGGGGCAAGCTGGTATGCGACATTGTTGGCTTGTTGGATTCTTGCTTCGATGTCTCTGTCTTACAGATCACAACATGGAATATTCTCTAGAACCTTCTTACAGATCGTAAGATGGAATACTCTAGAACGTTCTTACAGATCACAACATGGAATAGTCTCTAGAACCTTCTTACAGATCACAACATGGAATAGTCTCTAGAACCTTCTTACAGATCACAACATGGAATAGTCTCTAGAACCTTCTTACAGATCGTAAGATGGAATACTCTAGAACGTTCTTACAGATCACAACATGGAATAGTCTCTAGAACCTTCTTACAGATCACAACATGGAATAGTCTCTAGAACCTTCTTACAGATCACAACATGGAATTCTCTAGAACCTTCTTTGACACATTCTAAGATGTTCTGATCGGTTTTAGAATGTATTTGTTTTTCTCTGTTAAGTGTTAGGACAGTTCCCCCCCCCCCTTTTTTTCCAACCCCCGCCCCCACCATTTTCCCCTTCCCGGCTTCCTTCTGTTTTTTTTCTTCAAATAACACAAAACATTTATGCTCAGCACACAGACATATCTCATACAAAGTATATTTAATCTCACTTTATTCTATAAGTGCCAAATATTGCACCTCACAACACACCTAAAAAGAACATTAGTAACCATGGAAATAAGCTGTCTGAAAGGGACTGCAGGAATGATCAAATGAGATACGGTTCATAAAAGAAAACGTCGGTCCATATACTAACAGCAAATCAATTGGTTTTCCCGCTTAGAAAATCTGGTAATCTGGCAATCTTAGTTTCAGCTTCATAGCAAACGGGTCGCCCCATAGCTGCTCCGCTCCTGTGCCAACGAAAAACACATAAAATGTCTTTCACAGTTCAAATGAAATCAGCAGCTCACAGTGTTACGCCCAGCACCCAACTCAGAAGCTGTGCAACGAAACTATATCCTTCCTGTCTACAAATTGAGCAAAAATGCAAGGGCCACCGTCTGGAAAAAGCAACAACAACAACAAAATTTGCCACGGCTACGAAAAGTGTCCGTGCCTAACGTCCATTTTGACCTGAAGCATTATTTGAGGGTTAATAAACGGTCACCCCAGCAGTACCCTCATTATTAGCTGGGTAATAGATAGAAAGCCATGTGACGCCATACAATACACGGACCACATCAAAAGAGGAGAAGAGCATAGATCACAAGATAGAGCAAGAACAAGGTGGAGAGAAAATCTCACAGAAACTCCGCAAAGCTCGATGTGTTTTTGTTTGAGGCGATCAAAAGAGCAAAAAACAAAATCCGAAGCAGTAAAAACAGAAGTGAATATAAAGAAGAAGAACATTCCGGCTTAGAACTAAAGTTTATTTTTTATTTTTATCCTTTAGTGTTCAAGCACAGGCTAGCCGGGGTGTCCGTTCAAATCCACAGTCCCAATTTTACTGCTCTAGAGACATATTTAGGACCATACAGTGTCGCCAACAACACGTTAGACATCAGCTTTACGTCTCGTAGTCCTGTGAAGTATCTAACCATCAAGGGAAAGATGGTTGCTGGAGTCACGGATGGTCGTTTGTCTGTGTGTGAAGTGGAAGCTTTCGGTGGTTAGTGCATTTCTTTTATCTCTCTCTCTCTCTCTCTCTCTCTCTCTCTCTCTCTCTCTCTCTCTCTCTCTCTCCCTCTCTTCTTCTTCTTCTTCTTCTTCTTCTTCTTCTT